GGAAAAAACAGTAAAAATCGATTTTTTTTTACCCTTTTTACCGGGGGAGTACTCCGTTTTCTCTAGTATATCCGCAAGTAGAAAATGGTAAAAGTTAAATTGTTTCGTTTTTATTCGAGGGCGATTCTTGTTATTCGAGGTTTCCTTTTTTCTTTCAACTCTTTGCGCGATTCAATTGGTAAATATCGTCTCGTTTTTCTGTTTTTATGGAGGATATGCCCCTTTGTCTTATACCATCTCCGCGGTAAAAACCGCACCTTTTTTTACCGTTGTTACTGGGGAGCTTTCTTTCTCAATACCATATCCGCGATCAAAATGGTGAAATCATTTTTTTTCTTGTTGTACGGTTTTGATGGAGGGGAGCAAACGTTTTTAGTTTTTGACGGATGGTCACCGCTGGTGTTTCTGTTGTATCCGCGATGGGTAAAAATTGCAAGTTTTCGATCTAAGTGATATAGGTTTTCATTTCCCTGCACCAGGTAAAAATCATAAAGTTTTGATCAATCACCAAACTCCTCTTGTCGAAAAGGGCACACGCTACTATATGATAGCGGGAGTGAACCCCACCTGATTCTAGCAAGATACCCGGGCCGTAACATTTTTTGTTGACAGAGGTCCTCTAACTTGCGACCTCGTCCCGAGGGATTCTCGCGGTTCAAATTGTCCAAAATGAAAATTATTAGTTTTGTTGCTTACCTCTTTTAATGACGATTCGTTTGCTCTTTTTTCTTCTACCGCATCCGCGGTAAACATGTTAAAAGTTAAAGTTATGTGTTTTTCATTTTTGTAGGTGGTCTTGTCCTTTTCGTTTCTATCATCTCCGTGGTCAAAACGTTAATTATCGTTATTATATATGTTTTTTAACCGGGGTGCGCTCCATGTTTAAATTTATATCCGCTGTAAAACCGAAAATTGTAGTTGTGTTGTTTTGTTCTTTCTGGCTAGTGTTTTTGCTATTTTCGTTGTAAGCACGATGAACTGGTTGCTTTTATTATATCCTCGATTGCGGACACTATATATATATATATTTTTTTTTTGGTTGTATTTGGGTTATGCTTTTCACGAACTGCATGGACACTTATGATTTGTAGATTTGCGTTTGTTAGTTTTATCGATGACGTGCGTGGTCATTGCCGTGTCTCAGGGCTTCCCCGATGCATCCAACATTCATAGCGGCCTGTCTTCGCTTTTTTCCAATCCTCTGTGCATCTGTGATCCTGACCGGGCCTCGGCGCTTCATATGCACATATGCACAAGAGGCGACGCCCCACTCTCGCCGCTCTCCATATCTTTGACCTGCTGCATACCGGGCGCAGGATCATTTTGAAGAAAGTGCTTAGAGTCTTTCTCAACGTGTGCGTTGCAACGCCAACAATACCCACGATCCAGGTATTTAGTTCTAAGCAACCTTGCGCTGGTGAAGTTGATTTGTTTCTTAAGTACATATGCGTAGAATGTGTGTTATATTGAAATATGCAGGCGGTGTGTAAATTTGTAGACTGTTGGGGTGTCGTGGTCGCATTTATGGTCGCACTCGAACTCCTTGGAAAACACGTAGTCATATGACACTTTCAGAAGGTGCATAAACTAGAACAAGGGTGTGTCTCCTAACAAATGACCTACTGAGCCATGCAGCGAGTTGGCGTTTGGAGGGTTGTCCACTGTCAGAGTCACCCAGATGTTTCTAACAGAAGCTGAGGACTCTGTCTGGCTCAAGCCTCGCTTGCCAGCATCTCGGACCAGGGATTTCTGTAAATGGGTGGAATGTATGAAATTTCTTTGGTTGAATCTTTGCGCAGTGGCAGCAGCAGCACACTCTACAAGACCTGCTCGGCTGTGCTCTGCTTGTATAGAAGAACCATTTCGTTAGTAACTTCGTCTATCGTGACCACTACAAACTGCACGGATAATAGAAAGCATAAACTCGAAATACAGCGAGGCGGCACCAGAGCATGATGGGGTTACTTACATGTATATCCCCGCCAAACGCCGAATCACCTAGGCGCTGTTCCTGTGAGTAGTCTAGTGGCGCCAGAAGGTTCTTTTCCATCCCTTGTTGAACTGAAAGTCTTCAGTATTTAAAAAGGACGTATCACACCATCTGCCCAGCACTGCCCAGCACTCCATCTACGACCAGGGCGCCTCAATCCACTACAGGATGTCCTCGCGCGCGCAGTCAGTCTGCTGCAGGTGCTGACAGGATCTGCAAGGCTGCATCGTGTGATTCGCACGCCCCAAGACGAACCAATCCCTGACCTGCAGCGGCGTGTCGGACGGGACCGCCATGTGACTGATCATGCAGTCAGGCACTTACTGAGAGAATGAGACCTGCATTGGAATGCACCCACCGGAGAATGTCTACAGGGGATGATGACCAAGAAAATGTGAACAACATGGTTCTTGAGAAACAGGGCCCCACAATCGGCGATTGTAATGAGGGTGATCACAGTGGTGGTGGTGGTGGTGGTGGTGGCGGAGGCCGACTTGTTCATCGTAGTAAAAAGGGCTCCAAGAGGTTTATGCGAAACGCTGACTACCAAGTTCAAGAGAATTCCTGCAGCAATGCAATGACCAAAGTAATTGCGGCTTTCTCTCTTGTAGAGAAACAAGCACAAAACCGTTCAACGTTAACCTAGTAATTCGTCAGTGGGTCAAAGTTTTCTTTTTCACACCGCTCTACGAACATCAAACCTTTCCCTGCGCGTAGAGTTTATAGAGATCGTCCAGACCTGGCATGTCTGGAGGTGGCATGTCTGCGAGCAGGGTTCGACCGGCTTGACCGTTGAAGACGCCATCTGCGAGGACTGCCAACAAATCATAGGACAAACCAGCAACATCGTTCGTCATGTTTTTGGTCGTCTCCAGTCCACCGGCGACCCGACAGTGAGCTTCACGCATCCATCTGCACGTGGATAACATAATACGAGTAGTGGCATCTGCTCTGGACCGCGCACGGTTCCTGTTGTATCTTTGTAGGTGCGCCACGCACGTTCGATACCAACAGTTCCCAAGCTGATGGGCATGGACTTGCTTAAGGACCACCGCTTGACTTGATAAGCTCCCATCAGTCCTTGCAGAATCACTGGCTTGGCTTGGTTGACTAACACTTTCCGAAGAGCGGCATCACCAGCTGGCTCTTGCAGACTACCAGGCGGAACTTTTTTCTGCACACCTGCACCTGTACCATTTCTGGGGAACACAGGCCTTTGCCTCTGATGTCGTAAGTATCGAAGCTGCTGTTGCATCCATAAAGCTTGCCGAGCAGCTCCGGGATGGATAAAGTTGAAGACAGCGCAAGCAAAGAAATCTGCTAGCAAGTGCAACTCTGTCTCTATTTCTTCTAGGGTCAAATCTCCCAAGTAGACATCATGCATAGTTACCTTTACTTGGCTCGCTCGAGCGACATCTCTATAGATCAATGTCTTGACCGACAAGGGGACGCGCAATCCTTTTGCTGGGTGATACCAGGTCTCGGACAAGGCTGACTTCAAAATGTTGAAGGAAGTTCGTGGAAAACTGCGTCCCTCAAAGTATGCGCCCAGCACATCGGCCAGATTGGGTGGCCGTCTCAGCTCCCAATCCTCCAGCAAGATCCATTGCGCGTTTTTGGGCATCCTGCGACCAAGCTCTATCTCATTGATATGCCACTCTCGTCTTGCGGGATTCCATGAAGCTAGCATGACTTGGCAAACTCTGATGAGAAATCCTGCCTCCGTGGAAGAGAAATTGATGGCTTCGACCATTCGCTTGAAAACATGCAGCGGGTCTTGGGCAATGAAGACGCCCAAGCATGTTTTTTTACTGTTACTGACGTTGATCAAGACATTACCTTTGCGCACCCAGTCAGTAACTTCGTTATCTTCTCCAGTTACAAGCTTGACTTGGCTTGGAAAAGCTGCCTGTAGTGCACGGGAAACTG